TTGTGCGTCTCTTTTCGGGATTTCTGGAAAAAATTAAAGGAAAATTAAATTATCTCGGTGGATAGATATTTAGATAGATGTTTTTGGAATTTTTGGCATTTTGAGACTTTTTTGACAATCTTTCCGCAATTTTGGAATAAATTTCTGAATTAATTCGAGTGGAGTGAAAAAATTTGAGTGCAATCTAAATTCCATCGGTTTTTCTCTTCGGAGATTTAAAATGTTTTCGAGTATTCCCCTGAAAAATTGAGGATTTTTAATGAAACAGATTGATAAAATCCGAGAAATGCAGAAAATCCCGGGAATTTTACAGTGCAATAATAATTTTCGTGTACTTTTGCGGTAGTTTTACCAAAAAATTCTCGGCGTGGGATGTCCGAGAGCGTGAAACACTCGTGCGGAATGCGAACGCTTGAGCGTTATATGGAATTATTTTTAGATTTTCATGGTTGAACAAAAATTTCAATGTTTAAAATAGGGTTTTCAGGCGTGATGATATACGCGAGGTATCGAAGCATTTATAAATCATTAATTATTGGGGTTGAGGAGCCATGCATTTATTTATTTACACGATTTGAGGAATTTGTGGAAAAATCATGAGGTGATCCTCGACGAAATTTCGTTGCTTAATAAAACCGCATGACCCCCTGCCTCAGGTCAGGGAAAATGAAAAATTTCTCCGAGTGAATGGTGTCCCCTATTTAAGTGCAGGGGCAGTTTATGGCGACAATTTGATTTTTCAGTTCTTCGAGTCGATTTTACGATAGGGTTTTTCAATTCTACCGCACACCAGGTTGTTGGAGAGAGAGTCGGGGTGAAAAAATAAAGGCCTTTTGGTTTAGGTAGTGTAATATGCAGAGTTTTCGGTTTTATTGGCGGCTATTTTTCGGGGAAATTTTTCTCCCTGTCCCGGGGGTCATTTGAGGTAAGGGCTGCGGTCAATCCGATGCCTCGGTGGGAGTAAAATTTTATTGAGAGGTTTTATAATTCCTGGAGAAAAGCCAGTGACTTTTCAAAATTTGCCTTTTCTACTCCACCCAGAGAATAAATGTATTGATTCAAGTTGATGAAGGCTAGACTCTGTCTCACTATCCAGTTATTCCGAGGACAAATATCCTAGGTCAGTTGGTGCTCTAGTGAACTTGAGACTCAAAACTTGGGATTCAACTCCATCATCTTCAGTGAACTTCTAAAGTCCCGAGTTTTAGTTACCAAAGTTTTACCAACCCGAGTCAAGTCTCAACTCAAGTCCTTCAACTACTTCAACTTCAAACTCCACAAATTACCCCAGTAATTCCCTCCTGAACTTTCCCGTCAAACTTGACTGACCCTCGAACTTCAACTTGATTAAAGTAAAGTCTCGAGATAAATTGGAATTATTGTGACGAGGGAATTCCACGGAAGAGGAAAGTGGAAAGAGGAAAGAGGGAAAAGGGAAAAGGGAACACGGAAAAGGGAACACGGAAAAGGGAACACGGAAAAGGGAAAAGGGAAAAGGGAAAAGGGAAAAAAGAAAAGGGAAAGAGGAACAAGTGAATATACGGCAGATGTATTTTTTGGGGTAATGCCAAGTTAAAAAGGCGATGTACCAACGTATCGATAGGTTTCACGCACTCGTAATCGACATATGGAGTACTTTCGCATGCGTAATCCTGATGTGTCCAGCCACTGGGAGACGTGAGGTTATGGCGGGAGTACTAGTTACTAATTGTCCAAGCCCTCTTTCCCACTGAACCCTCTCCCTCCTGCTCCTCATCAGCGCTGATTGCCTAACTCTAGGACCCTCAAACTCACGAACGACCAGCACACACTGATCCCTCACCTCCTACCACCCTGGATAACAGTACAACCGAGGATTGAGTTGGTGGGAGTGGGATACACGAGGTCGAATGGCAGTTTGTTGGTTCGCCAATACCAGTTTGTCGGTCGACGATTGTCTAACCCCTTTACCAGTCGCTGACGAACTCTCATGGAGGTGGGGAACTAGACAGTGTCGACGTCAATGGCTGCGGACACCTGTGAATTTAGTGTTCATTAGCCCTTTTTCCGGAATTTACGTCGAATTTTCACGATTTCTCGGACTGATTGATTCGACATGTACAATCTATCCAGTATCCACCCCCGGAGGGAAATATTTCGTGGAAATTACGGACCCTTTTGATAAGGGGTATTTTACAGTGTGTCATTTTTCACGGAATTTTTGGGGAATTATTACGATACCGATACGGGAATTTTCTCAGTCACTTTCGTGATCGGTAGGCGAAATTAAGGGATTTATTTTTTATTGAATATTTCTTTCCGTGCAATACTTTTATATACGGAGAGGAAAATTCAGGAAAAAGCACGTGACTAGGCACGTAATCATGTAATAAAAATGATTAATTATTAATTATTAATTTTTCCGATTTCCCCGTTCGTCCCGAATTAAACAGTAATTTTTACTAAACTTCTCACGTACCACTGCAAGTGGCAAAATATTTGCAAATTAAATAATTTCTATTCTAATTGTTGGCACTGAAGATGATCTGTTATTAAATTAATTGTTTATACCAGATAAACATTTTTTTCAATTGAATAAAAATTCATTCAAACCCATTCAAATAAATTTCCCCCCTCAAACTTCTCCAAATATTATTACAGATAAATCGTTCAATTATTAACATAATCACAACAATAATAATTATAATTACAAATAAAAAATTGAATTTAATCACTAAAAAGTGGTAATTTTTATGAGATGGACTTGTTTTTTTTTAATGCAAACCGATTACCGTTAATCAGCAACAATAAATTAACAATAAAATTAATCTTCAAAGTTTATTTACCACCGTTAAATTTCCATTCGTCGGGGATTCCCTCAAAACGTCCCTTCTCCATTTGCTTACTCACTCGCCAATTTGCCAGATGACAAAGACAAAACCAAACAAACCCCCGACTGGTTTTGCAACACCAGGAGAGAAACGATTTGCCAGTTTGTCGGTCAGTGCGAGCTAATTTTTTTTTTTTTACCAACCCCGACCTCTCGATTCTTCCTGTACGTGTCTGTGTGCATTCGCACTAGACTAACTCGATTATACGTAGCGATTCTTTCGGCAAACATTAGTTAGCGCCGGGTGGATAGAGAGGGTGAATCAAGAAAAAAGGATGAGATTATTTGGGCTTCTCCCTTCATGCTTCCTCGATTGTCTACCAGTCAAACCTACGAGACTGCTGCACAGGATGTCAATGGGGTTCTCATACACATAGAAAAATATATTATATAATATTCGCGATATTTTATAACACTCTGCAATTTTTTTTTTTGCATTCAGCAAGACGATCCCTCGTTTTGGCGAGTTTTTCGCGGATATCTTCGAACCTGAGGGATCCACAGATTTTTTTATATCACCTTTTTTGTAGCTCACAGTTAGTCCTGTAGAAAAGGTCTCAATAAATATTTTGCTGTCTCCACTAGATGTCGAGATTTTTGCAAAAAATCGACTGTTCGTGGAGGAAAATTGGGAATTTCAGGGAGAAAATAAACATAACTGTAAAGTTTCCGTTTTGTTCTTCCCTGGAAAATGAAAAATTGAGAAGAGAGTATTTTCTGGTGCCAAGAAAGTCTCGGTTGTGAAAAGTAGATTTTTTTTTACATTTTTTTCCGTTCTTTATCGCTCTTTTTTATTCTCACGGTATGAAAAACGAATTTCCCTTAAAAAGGCATCTGTAGGTTCGGATCAAATGAATCCCGGGAGTTGATGAAGAAGAAAAAACACTGAGGATAAAAATTCGATGAACCTCTCTGTTATTGAATATTTAATCAACAATTCACTCAAAAAAAATCGTTAAAATTATTCAAGTCGACGTCTCTCGATAAATATCTCCGAATCCAACGAAGCTACAAAATTTTGGATAACCACATTTTTTAAAGCTCTCACTTTCCCCTACAAAAAATCTTCTACAAAATATTTCGATATCAGCTTTAAATCCCGAGATATTAACGAAAGACTGACGCGCAGTCAAAATTCACTCAAACGGTTGCACCGATCAACTCCTAAATTCATCTAAACCTTCGATTTTAGGAGAAAATGTGACAGAACGTTTTTTACCCAAAATTCAATGAACAACAAAAAAGTCCTCTGGCGTTTTCACCTCCAGCCCCCAGTTGCTGCGATAAATCGGTAATTAAGAGAAATTGAATGATCGTAATTGAATTTTCGAGTTGATTTGCTGGTGAATTTCACGTATGACTTTGAAATCTTTATAAAAATGAGCATCCCTGGGCCCTGAACAATCTATACGTCCTAATACAGATCTCACGCGGTAACTCCCCATCCGATATAAATGCATTCTCCCCTCATCCGAATTTCCCCTCTTTTATCCCCTGAAAGAATATGAGAATACACGGTATGTTGTCGTGGGCCCCCTGAAACTACCGTGTGGCATGCTGCCATTCACATTTAAATTGTCACCCATAGTGGAAGGGTCGAGAAAAAACCTCGAGAAATAAAAAAAGATTTCAACGTATACGTACAAATCCCTCAGCCAATGACACGCAAAGTAGCACGTTTCAATCTCATTCACGACGGCACGAGTCTCATGAACTTTTTCATTCGACAATTCTCACCCCAGAGAAATGGCCAAGGGACTCTGAGAAATTTATTCCAACCAATTTGGAAACACCAAACGGCTGAATCCACGATATTTAAATCCCCAACTACATCCAGCCCCAAGAATTCCACAAAAAAGTAAAAGATCAGACAAGTCGATTTCACTAATAGTCAACTCTCCGAGAAAATATCTCCGACTTTACAAGAGATACCAAAATTTTCATTAGAACCTTTTTTGTAGCCCCGAATCCGCTCTACAAAAAACATTCTGACAAATTTTCTCCATCACCCTCAGATTCGCTGATATCCGTCCAAACCTCAACTAGGAATGAGTAAGCGAAAGACAACGAAAAAAAATTCAGGTAAAAGTTTCTCTTTTATTCCATCTGCATCCTCTATATTACTCTCTTTACATTAAATTAAATTCTCTCTGACTTACCCTAATTTATAAATAACTTTCTTTATCTCCGATAATTCACAATCACACGTACGTCTCTATGTACACGACATTCTGGCCTCCACACAGTCTGTTGCCCTCTCCCCTATATACAATCACAAAATAAGAACAAAAGATGCATTCATTCCCTCAACCCACGATTATTGTCCACTCTACAACTTCCTATATACAATAACCCCACATCCAGTCGACAGATCCATGAATTATGTACAATAAAATAGAATATATTAAAGAGAAAATTGCATAAAACTGGATCAAGAAGAACGCGCGACCAGAGCCTCACCGAATCCAGTCAAAAGAGAAAAATTAAAAACAAAGAGTTTTGCAAAAATAATAAAACAAGTCACACGTAGACGCCTCGCGTCTTCGGAGATATCACTAGCCTTCCAGACGGTCTTGAACCACCAACAGTTTAAAACATGATGATTGGAGAATTAATAAGGCCTCCAAACGGGCTTGGCAGCCGGTGGTGATAGCAATTTCGTTGGTGATGGACTTCTTTTTGATATGAGTGTCGTGGGTGCTTTGAGCTCGCACTTGATACCCTCCGTTGGTTTTCTCGATGCCACAGGCCTGCCTGGTGACGACGATGACGGTGTAACAGCAATGGAAACAGGTGGCAGAGAATTTATTCTGATTGGCACAAAGGCACTGCGAACTTCATCAGCTGCTGATTCACTTCCACTGTCGCTTGGACTTCTCGGTGGTGTTCTCGATGGACTATTTGGCAATGCTGGTGTCTTATTTGTTGGCATTCCGGGATACTCCGTTGGATATTTGACGTGCTCGTGGAACGGATAGGTGGACGGCAGTACTGTTGGTGGAAAGCTCGGTGTGAACAGATCGGCTGGTGGCATTGGTACAGTTCCTATTCAAGCAGAAAAAAATATATTCGTACATTAGGGGGGCTGGATGGTGAAGGGAGATGAGGCCTTGTTGTATTGTTACTGCAGAGCCGTGGGGAGGAGAGCTTGTGGGAAAGGGAATGAAAGGAGCTCACCCTTCGGTCCAGTATGAATCATCACACGAAACCTAACGAATCGATATACCAACTCCCCCCTCTGGCTTTTTGTTTCCTTTCATTCCTCTCTCTCTTTCGAGTTTTTGCCACAAGCACAGCGATGGATCGATATCAAAATTACGGATTCTTACCTTTCATCAGTGCAGGATGATGCAGGTGCCAGGCATGACCGAGATATGCTGCGTCTAGCCACGGGTTCAGAAGACCCAGTCCTGGAAATCCAGGTCCATACTGATAATCTGGAATAATTGAGACGCTCGTTAGACATTTCATTCTCTTCTTCAATGAAAACCAATTAAAATTCAGTTATTACCGATCATCATAGCGTGATTGCAAACAGGCTAAACGCCGATTCCAATAATTCTTTACAGATTTCACGGATATTTGATACCGATTGTTCCGAGAATAATCGAAAATAGACTCAATCGTGCATTAATCGAGCGATTTCGGCGCGAATTTAACGACCGCAGCTGGGTAATTTGATGGCAGAGAGAGAGAGAGAGGGAGAGAGAAAAATGAAATGGGAAGAATTCTTATGAATCGTAAAAAACCCAGAGCATCTTTAACGGTTTCACTACGACTTCTGCTCTAACTGGGAGATCTGGTTATTATAGAGTTGCCGTTTTGTGGCGCACATATGCTACCGCCATATGCCGTGTTATAAACAAAACCCCACGGAATCTCGGCGGCATCTCTTTGCAGCACATCGTAAGACTTTATTTTTCCCTTTGTTTTTTTAAAATCGTTTTGGACTTATAAGACGGGAAAATTTCCCGGTGGCTTTGACGGCCAATTGTGAACATCATACCGATCATCAAAAGAACACCGACTCTTGAGAGACTGCCAGACACCCCTTTCGCCCCCTTCCTAACTGGTCTATTTATGATTATCAGTGGAATACTGTTTGGGAAAATTTGTGCTAGTGCAGTTATGAGAAACGGATACACGGGGAGGAGGGCAAGGGCTCTTTCTCCCTCCATTCTCACCGAAAACCCCCATGGACACCCTCTCTGTGTGTGACCACTGAGCGCCCGACTGGTGGTTTGAGGTCCGCCAGATATACGCCGGGATTATTAAACGCCGCGAGAGGGTCACAACCTCCGACACCCGTTTTGCGGATTCACTGTGTGGTACAAACGTTTCTCAACATCTCGCATTTATCGTTATGACACTTAATTGCGTAAAAATCATCGCTCATAGTGGAACAATGGTCTTAAGTGAGATAATTATTAACTTTTTTTTTATTTATATTCAGAAATAGAGTACTTACTCGACTTGGATCGTGGCTCTCTGGGCCCGTCAACGGTGACTTTGATGGCTTTTGTGTAGGTGGCGACTTGGAACGGAATTGAGCTGATTTGAATCGTCAGTGAGAACGATTTGCCTACGATGAAAAATATAAAAGTTATTTTAAACTGCTTAAAGTTTGACCAGAAATATTCGAAGAACATGTTCTGAGCTTCGGTGATTGAGAATAGGTTTGATATTTACCTCTGCCGCTGCGACCTACGAATCTCAAGTCATTGAACTTGGCGACTTGATTTTTCATAACAGCCGTGCAATTTCTGAGTTCTCCACAGCAATTCTCATCATTACCAGCGCGAATGGTAACAAGTGTGCCATCGCTGACATCATCAAGTGCCACAACTTTGAATGCAACTGGTAATGATTTGTTGGATCGCCAATGGGTTGGCAGTGCGCTGCACAGAATAGCAGGACTGCCGGTCTGCACAAGATCGCCGTGACACGCTCTCAATGTATCATGCACATGGCTGAAGATCTCCATGCCATTTGGTCCCTCCGGTAGATGCATTTTAAATAGTCCGTGTGATGCCTCGAAATGTTGATTTTTATAAATCCTTGAGTGCACAGTAGAGATAAAAAGGAAAATCACTTGCTTGACACTACACTTTGAACTTGCCACTCAACACGAAATCGTGAAAACCACGAACAGACACTGATGGATATCGATCAACTGGTGACTACGTGATTCTAAATGTTGTGGAGTCACCGAGAATCGATGTGTTCTCAATTTCGGTATGGAATAAAATGTGGAAAACGACGCGCACTCGATGCCGGCTGAGCGGATTCTAGTTTTTCGCTTACGTTGCCGCAGCTATTTAGAGGGGATTTTTTCCCCCACCAAGTTTTTCCCAGAGCCCCACCCAGTGGTGACGCGTCGACCAATGAGGACGGTGGTCGTGTTTGTGGCCTCAGTGGCTCGCCGCCTTCGGCCCCTAACCAAGGCTTGAGGGTTGCTGGCGGTACCTAAGGCCTTGACAACTTCTACCTATATACCATGGAAAACACACTCTCTCTCTTCTCAGTCTCTCGGTGTCTCACTTTGCCACCGGCATTTTATCCGTCTTCCTTCTTCGGCACACACCACTTGGGGATGATACTCTTACCTTTCCATTTCCCTTTCTCCTTCTCTTCGCGGAGACGGTAGCGTTTAGGTAACCGCGCACGTGGCTCCGCGGCTCTCGTCAACACCAACAAAAATATAATGTTGCATTTATGGAAATCGTTCAAAGCCGGATTTTTAATCGCATGTCTCATTTTATTATTGCAAAATGTCAATAGCTTATCGATTCTGATAAAAGCGATGTCTCGAAACTTTGCCAATGACTCCCAGAATTTTTCGGAATTCTCCGAAAATTCGAGAGAATTTTCTGCTCATATTTCTTTTCAGTTGAGAATTCAGAGAATTTTCAAATGCCAAAAGAATAAAAATTCTGTAATTCATCAAAATAATAAGTCCGAAATTTTCTATTTGATGATGATGATTGGAAAATAGGTCTCATCAAGTAAATTTTAGTGTCACATTTAGTAATAGCGGAGTGATGAATATTTTCTTGTTGAAAGTTAACAACAGTGTATATTTCAATATTGAGAATTTCTTGCAAGCCGTCAGACCAAATTTTCCTACAAATATTTCTCCACGTCGAGTTGGAATTGAATAAAACCCAAATAATCGGATTAAACGCAGCAAAAATGACGCAACAAGTAATTTTCGTTATGCAAAAGTTGATGTGACTTTACGCCGCTAATAATCCTTTGAGAATAATCCTAATGTAAATCCGAGGATTAAAACCGATAATCCCAAACAAACCCGCCCCGTCCTAACGCGGCAAACCCCAACAAAAACGCGCACCGAAGTGGCCGAGAAATTCATATTTTTGGGAATCAATTAACCCAGTAATGGTAAATACGAAAGGGTTGAGGGGATAAGACTAAACGAGTACTTTGGATTATCCCGGACAATATTTGGACAGGTCATCGAGTGTCCACGGATTTTTTCACCGGGGGTCTCGAAATATTCAAATTATCTCCGCCTACTTCCGTACGACAAAGACAAGACGAAAAACAGGAGTAATGAAGGACAACGGTTATTTATGACCATTTTTGTTGTGAATAATTTTCACCGATTTTCGCGTAAAATAAATCGCGTCACATTTTCCCTTTTAGTATACGGTAAGTGGGAGGTGGGGGCAATAAAATTGGGACTCCCTCATTGTTCTTGAGATGCCAAGGACGAGACTGACCCACAACCGAGCACAGAGGGGGGTTGGCATTCTCAATCCGAGAGTTTAGTCAATAAAATAAAATGTGGCGTAAAACCCTTTGACTTTCTGGGTCAATCGTCATTCCCACCTCTTTCCTCATTGTATTCACCTTTTCCTCATGTTCTCCACCCTTTAGCCAGTTCCATGGACAATAGATTTTATTGCGCTCTCCATTGCTACAATAATAAAGTTTTCAAATTTTAAACAATTCCTCAAGTGGTTGTGATAGCTGGAAATCAGAGTCATTTACAATTCCAAAATTTCACTACTTTCTTTTATCGATTTTTATTCAATAAATCGAAATCGACGCTCTCCTTTAAAGATTTCTCCGGAACAATTCAATTATTCTGTTGTTAATTTTATGAGTATTTTATTATTGTTTATTCTGTTTTTTAGGAATGAAAATATTAAGATTAATATTAATATTTATTTAATATTAAATTATTCGTTTTAATGGGAGAAAATATTTCACCCGTGAGAAAAAAAGTGGAATAAAAACCCCGGAAGTTTGATGATGAGAAAATTCCCCTTCGATCCGATCATTTGCAATCTTTTGTGAATGCACATTATTTTTCAACTCCGCCCCCTCATTCTTGGTCCATTCTACCTGATTTTTTATGATCAAACATTGGAATCAGAAACATCCGCCCGCCCTCTCGGAAGAATGGAGAATGAATGAGAAAAATATCGTGGAGTTTTCACATTTTTCGTATTACAGGGCACGACCACGAGTTTTCTCAAGCATTTTCATTGCCCGTGAAATTTTCACCGGTCGGTGAAAAAAAGGTCAACTCTCGTGGCAATGGAAAGGAACGGAGATGCTAGAAACATGTTTATTAGTATCCTTCGGTACCTTTTGGGTCTTAAAGAAAACGAGGAAGAAATATTGGGGTGGGAGGAATCCACGTGCCTCTTCAATTTTCCCTGCTTTCTCGCATTTTCGGGGTCCTTGAAGATGAATTTTTATGACCCACTGGGACCCCCTGAGACTGGGGATCATCGTGAGATTAACCCTGATTTTTTCCTTCCTTCTGGAACAGCCACGCGACTTGCTCGTCATATTTTAAACGACATGATCACACATTCAAAAAAAAAATTTACCGAATAATCCCTGGATTTGCATAAAAAAAACATTTTTTAATGAAAAATATTATTACTAATTGGATCCAATCGATATGATAAAAAAAAATAGGAAATAAAAATAATAACAAATTGTTGGTTGAATTAATTCTCTTGGGCAGGAAAAAAATAATCGAGAAATAAATTTTTTAATAAATTTCGCTGCACAATTTCTGAAAGAATTTTGAATTTTTTACACAATTTTATTTTCCTCGTTCTCCTTTTTTCTTCAAGAATTACAAGACGAAAAAAATAATGAAGAGTTTAAATTGAAGATAATAAAGATGACAAAGATAATAAATGAAGATGAATGAAAAGGAAAGAAAAATTGAAAGAGGCCTCGTCACTGACGTGCGCCAAAAAAATATTGCCTTAATGAACGAGTCTGCCGAGAATGCAAGTCCCCATTACCAATTGTCCAAAAGTGCATCACGCGTGTAAACCGAAGAATCAAAACATCCACATGACCGATTCGCAAAGAGCCGTTATCACAAAAAGCGTGAAAACCTTCAAGTCTCCATACTTTTTAATACCCTAAGTACTGCCCAGTGCAGCGTGACAAAAAGGACATGAGTAGGGGATCTCTCTAACTCCTATCGTGTAGAGATCGTGTAAACAGACACACGCAGGCGAATAAAAAATAAAAATAAAAAGCCGAAACAAAGCGCGAGCTAAAGATGAACCGGCGAAAAAAAAAGTGCGGATGACTGGGGGAAAGGTAAGAATTGAAAACAAAGAGGAAGCAGAAGTAAAGCGAGAGAATAACACAGGGGTGGAGGAGTGGGTGGCGTTTGTCGAGTGGCGGAAAAGAGGATATAGCCCGAGGTAGGCAAAACGCGTATACCAAAAAGAGGAGAGTTATACGGTGCTGGGATACAAGGGGGTTAAAAACACGGGTGTGGGAGGAGAAGGTGAACGAGAGATACAGAGAGGTACTGGGTATTGTGTGCGGTGAGCGAGCCGGAAGCGCCGCCATACTGCGCGTATCGTCCCGCGTCGCCTTTTGTTTCCGTTCCCGTTTGGCCCCAATCACTTTCTCTACCATCCTTGTTCCACAACTTCCACTTTCCATCCCTCCTTTTCCCTTTCATTCCTTTTTTTTTTCATTTTTTTTTACCCCTTTTTTCTCATTTTTATTTCAATGTCTAGGCATTCAGGTGCAGAAGTGCACATGTGCCGGGGGTTATCGGAGGTGTAGGAATTTCCTGCGATTTTTATCCCGGAGAATTGATTTTTCGTATGTCTCACTCTTCATTAACTCTAGTTAACCCTAGTTATCTCTAGTTGGACATCATGTTCGACCTTGTGACTTGGTGAGCTCCGGGGGAATTCCCGCTGCGTGTTTTTTAGGCGCCAGTGTTGCCGAATTTAATCTAGACTGGTCCGAAGCGTTCAGTGGCTTTTCGGCAACGTCGCACGACGGATCCGCGGCTAAATGTCAATTGCGGTGCGGTAAGGGGAGATAAATCCAATTTCGCGGACTAACAATTGTTATAAAAATAATTGTAGCATTTTTCCGACTTTTCCGATCAATCGGTTGTCGATCGCCTTCGGGATGGCGCGATCTTCGCCAAAACTTGAAGCCCAGATTTGACAGCAAATCCGACAACGATAATAACCGCCTCTGAATTTTCTCGTCGTGTCGAATCCATTCCGCTCACTCCCAAATTGTCCAATTAAGATTTGTCACGTAGAGCAATAGGAAATTTTCGGATGTGTCACGTATATAATGAAAGAGTGGGGCAAGGGGTCGACGCTGGTTTTGACAGCGGACTGATGATGACGACGAAATGGAGAACAGGGTGGAATTGTTGGGTGGGTTACAATAAGGGTGGAAGTGAGAAAAATCCCGCAATACCCCTCAGTTCAATCCCCCCCACGGAGAGACAAGTAATAATCGCCGGCGGCATCGATCATAACAACTCACCAGATTCACTCTGCAACTGAAAACGTTCTCCGCTCAATTTTTGATAACACACTGGCCCGACATCTGAGAAAAATTAAATAGTCGCCCTCAACCCCCTACCCCCTGTTGTCTCATCGGAAATGGGGCAAGATGATAGAGTGTAATCGATGGAATTCGTCCAGAAACTTTCGATTGAAGCTGGACTAGAAGGTATCGTCGGTGGGGTTGGACAATGAAAGGGGGTGGAGTAAGTTCTAGATCACCCCTGCTACCCTCTGCCTCTCTCTGCCACTCCCTACCTCCCCCTGCCACCCCCGGCCACCCCCTGCCACCTTTTCGGCAACAACCCGTGTCGTATATATACGTGTA